CTACATCTTTTCTTAAAACCAAAACTTAAAAATCTCTTACGATAACCTGACATTTTAAATTGGTAAAAGGGGAAAGGAGAGTGGAGCTGTCTCCTTCAGAGATAGGAGGAGTTATATCTAGATACAGTGCACTCCTGTCCCGCAGAAGGGCTGGAGATTTTACAAAGAATTCTCTTTAACATTCTGCTTCTACTCAAGAAATATATAGTACTAAAACAATTTACTTATTTTCATAGTATTAAAAATATGCCCTTTCCCAGTAAGCAAGCTAATCTGGCTGAGCTACTGCTGCATCTTCCTATTATATGAATAAAGGAGAAATGAGGTTTGGCAAATACACGTGAAAGAGTATTTATCATGTTTCAAATAACTGAATTATTTTGGTATGACGTTCATTTTCTCTCTTTGCAGCAAAGCAAAACTTCCCATGCCAAATTCTTCAACAAGCCCCTTAAGATTATTTATTCTCCAATGACAAGAACAAATGAGCGCTGTTAATGATTTTCAGATTTAAAACAATAATTCTCATATAAAACAAATTTTTCCTTACGATTTGCCAAACCATTCCTCTCTAGACAAATTATATCTTTGTTCTAAGAATTTTTCACTGTACTGTCCAAGCTAATTTTTACTTTGAATACAAACCAACAGAAGAGACAATTTTTCAAGAGAGGAGGATTAGAGAGCCAAAACTACATTTTCTACTGCTTATAATTTAATCCATATTGAGTTACAGATACATTTCACAGTATGCAAATTAAAGTAATTGCCATTTAATTCCTACCCTCTTTTTTAAGTTTCACAAAGAATAGCTGCTTTTGATAATTATTTTTAGCCGAAAAAACACTTAGTTTGGACCACCTCTCATGTTAAGAAACATATCATTAGCTGCTATGTTTTCAATCTGGACCACAGATTATTTTGCTTAATAAATTCTTTACCTAAAAACCTCTGGTAAATACAATAGATAAATGCAAATTCTGTACATCCAAAGAATAGTTAAATGAGGCTATCATTTTAACAAAGAGTGTTATCTTTGAAACATCTTCAGGCCAAGTTCTGTGCTATCACATGTACAGTATCTTTTTTTCTTTTTGAGAAGGGGTTTCACTATGCAGTTCACGCTGGCTTTGAATAGCCAAAGCTGGCCTTGAACTTGCAGTGATCCTCCTGCTTCAGCATCCTGAGTGCTGGGATTACAGGCATGTGTCACCACATCCAGCCTTGTGCAGCATCTTATAAACTTAAATTTTGGTAATTTAAAGAGGTCTGTTTTCGTATGTTTGTTTGTTTGTTTGTTTTTGTTTTTTCTCCGGTACCGGGAACCGAACTCACGACCTTGCACATGCCAGGCAGTGTTTTCATATGAATGGAAAAAGATTCCAAAACCAAGGTTAAACATCAAGAACTAATTAAATTTAAATTAAATTTAAAAGAGAACAAAATATGAAAAAATAAACATTAACTAATGTTAAATTTTCATTCTTCAACACAATTCAGTACTAAAAACCAAAAATTTTAAAAACAAGATGTTTATGATGTAAATCAAGCAGTCAAAAAGCTGTGTAAGAGATCTGCTTCACATTTTTAAGTAAAGGCAAGTATGCTTTGAATAGATTTACCCTGAAGGTTTGATATAAAACTGTGACTACACTCGATGATTTGCATGCTTGAAACAAACTATAAGTGAGTCAGAGTAACTTAGCTGACAAATATTTCATTTCTCAAAAGTCTACTAATATTTATGCCAAATGGCCCACAATCATCTCAATCTACATGATCCTCCACTTAACAGTATAGAGATGAACTATATGAAGACTATGAGTACATAAAATCATGCAGGTGCTAAAGTGCACATTCTCTATTTTACCATGTTACAGTTTTAGTCATTTTTCCCCCTTTTTGGTTTCTAATTTTTGGGTAGACCTCAGAAACACATCTCACCTTTGCTAGAGATTACAGAAGTAGAGCTTCATCAATGGAAATAGGCCACACAAATACATTTACTGTATTGAAACACAAATTAAAACAAATAAAATTGTAGGAATAATGGGAAGAGCCAAAAAAGGGATTTAGTTAATTGAACCAACAAATATTTATGAAATGCTCACTTTTATAAGCATCAGATAATGCTGCACCGATACGATCAATGGCAGACTAAGTTAAAAGACAGGATGGGGCCCAGAGGTTTGGAGAAAAGGAAAGGTAATGAGGTCACTTCCACATGTGTTGGAATTACTTTAGACATCTAATTTAATCCATCAGTATTTTAGAATCTAAAATATTATGAGGCTTCAAGAATTAAGTAGGAAGCTAGATATCTAAAGTCTAGATGAGAGTCATTAAGCAATATATGGGAAGAACCTGAAGGAGACCACTCCACTGACAGTAAACAAAGAAGCAGGCTGAGACAGAATACATTTAAGAGAAAGGGAGAGAAAGAGCAATCAATAAACTAAATGCCAGAAGTGCAAAAGATAAAACAAGACTGGTGCTGCTTCTGCAAAACTTCAAGGAAAAGAAATAGTCAACATCTTAATCATAAAATTAAGATGCAGCTTGAGAAACACCTATTAAATGTTTTAACTACCAAGTTGAAGATTACCTTACTGAGAAAATTTCTGTTGAGTGAAGAGGGAGATAACATACTAAACAATCTATCAAACACCCAGTAAGAACTGGGTACTTTTTTATTAGCTTAAGTGAACCATATGGTGGTAGAAAAAAACCACAATTTTAAGTCATGAGAACATACACAACAGACAGCTGGGTGCAGTGATGCATGCCTGTCATCCCAGCTACACAGAGGCAGGAGGATTTCAAGTTCAAGGCCAGCCTGGGCCTCTTAACAAGCCTCTGTCTCAAAATAAAAAATTAAAAGGGCTTGGGGTGTCACTTAATGGTAGAGTATTTGTTTAAAATGTGTGAGGCTACTAGTATGGCCCTCAGTACTATTTTAAAAATGTGGACGGTGCCACAAAAGGAGTTACTAGATATTAAACTGATGATACAGAATCATTCCGGTATTTTCTCCAAATTAACAGCTGCACCTGAGTTATTTGCCTTATCTGCTTTAACTCAAAGGAATGACAACAGTTTATTTCAGATACCAGAGCTTCCCAAATTCCACAGCAACAACTTTGCTAGTTGTTTTTTCCCTTTTTATCTCTCTGCATATACATGAATATACATGAATTTATTTATAAGACGTATATGTATACACACAAGCACACACAGAATTCAGAAATTCATATTAAGTCACCACTTTGGAAAAATATAAAACAAATACTCCTAAACAAAAGGATTAATTTGTTTTGTCATTTTCTCATTTTTAATAGAAATAATTTTTTCTAGAAAATACAAATTATGGAATTTAGTGTGAAAAAGACAACTTAATGAGGGAAAAACTCATATGATCAGTACATTTTAGCATGAGAATTTAGCAGGTATAAATGTAGCATGCTAAAGTACAACTTTAGATGGCAGATTTTTCATTAATTAAGTCTTAGGGCTCTGAATCATGTCTTTTATCTTTCTGGACCTTAGCTTTGCCAACTGTGAAATAAATGAATTAAAAGACATCAATATGGACCCACCCACCCTTAAGAACGTGATTCTGACGAATAAACTTCAAAGACAATTCTATATAAGTACACTATAGCAGAATAGCTAAGCACTATAGCTAAGTACACTGTCTCCTTTGAAACTAAGGATTGCCAATTTTCAGTCTATTGTAATGTTCTTCATCCAATAAAAAGCTTATTCTTGTGAATTACGAAGTTACTCTTAAAAATCCTCTATTCTTCTTTCCCCCCAAACTAAATATATTCAAGTATGGGGACAGCCAAGACTCTGGTAAAAAGCTGCACACATGGCTGGGTGTGGGAGCTCACAACTGTAATCCTAGTCACTCAAGAGACTGAGCAGGAGCATTACGAGTATGAGGCTAGTCTAGGAGACATGGATCCTGTCTCCATATAAACACTGTGCAAACACACTGTGTAGTGGCCATCAACTGTATGCTTAAGGGCATTTTGCTTTCAACACTGGGTACCCAGCACGCACCCCTGTTCCCAGTGAAACACTAAGAGGTCCTGTAATGTTGGATGAGTTCAACTTTTCTTTAGGAACTAAGCAGCTGAATAGATGCGGATCCATTGTGTTTGCCCCTACCTTATCTTCTAAACACTGGTAAAGATTTCAAAGGTTTGAGGACTCTCTTAACACTTTTAAATTTTCTTATCAAGTATTTACCTTGAAATTAAGTATGGGCAGTTAGATAAGAGTAGAAATGAGAACCAGATAGTAGAAACAAACAAATGCTTATCACTTCAATACCCTACAATAGATCAAATCAACTTAATGTATGCTAGAAATATATAAATTTCTTTATGTTTAATTTATAGATAAATTTAAAAAGACAATTTGTGTTAAGACTCATTTACATTCAAAACCTAACAAAGCCTTATTCACATTTTGTTGAAAATAATCATTATTGGTTAAATAGTTCTTGGAATCTATAAACATTGTTAAGGTAATAGCAAAGAGATAAATTTACAGAATTGTACTAAACTAAATTTCCAGAGTAAACAACTGATTTCACCCAGGCAAACAGTAATACCAATATTCATTGAAACTACTTTTCTCACAGTAAAATATCTGCCAGTGATATATGAACTTTGATCAATGTCTTCAGTGAATATATTAAGCTTCATTGTAAACTGTTTTATTCTTTAAGAGCATTACTAAAACAGCTGAAGTCCATCATTTTCACCATATGGTTCATTTCTATGAAAAACTTTAAGGGTAAAAGGCTAATTCAGTATGAAAATATATACCAGGTAATGAGGCTGATAACTCTGTTTTTTTTTTTTTCAGCTTAGCAATCTTGTAGTAATTTATTTTCAAGATACATAAACTAAAAAATTGCCTTGAATTTCTTACATACTAATTAAGGAAGAGCAACAACTAGGAATAATAAACACAGTAATATAACTCACCTAAATAGGGAATGCAAGGTGTCATCTTTAAGCTACTTATATAGTCTCTGAGTCTTTTGTAGTTATCTTCTTTACTCATTACATACTCTAATTTTTCAAAGGTAGTTTTGTCTTTTCGACTTAATAACTAAAAAACAAACAGAAAAGCCTAAGTTATTTACAAGTTCCCATTTTATTGTAGCAAAGATCTGAAGTAATATTTACTATAAATTTGGATTTTATTTTAAAAGTTATACCTTCCTTTATTTTGCTTAATATACAAATAAAAAATCAGATATCTATTAATAACAAATTATTTATAAATGTACATAATTATTAACTAATAAATAATAATACATTATATTTCTCATCTTTACTATTTTAAATGAATAACCAATCTGTTGATCAGTTTTATAAAAAATAATTATATATTTTCCTTCAGGTCTAACACCTACATATTTTATTGACTACCTTCTCAAAGATAAGATTTGCATAATCATAAAGAAATACTGAATTTTGTGAGTAAGTAACAATTTTTCTTGACAACTTTAATGATGGCTAGTCCTAATAAAATTTCTAATTCCCTACATTTTGGACTTCTGGTGAGACTTGTCTTTGCCAGCACTTTATCATATAAAGCACAACTTAAGAGGCTGAAGGAGTAAATTTGTAGTGAGTGCTAAGATCAATGGAAATAATAAAGGAGGGGGTAAAAGACATGCAAGGTTGGTCAGTCACCCATATATTACCTTAAAAATTTTTTAATCAGAAAAAAATTTTTAATCATACCAGAGACTGGTAAAATATTTTTCTTTAAATGTATGAAGTAACTATTTCATTATAATAAGATTTCACTTTATTTCATGTTGAAATATTAGTGTTATTTTACAGCATGCAACACTTTCCCTATGTAATTCTCATCCAATTTTCTTATGAAGTTGACAGAAAAATTTAAGTAGAGATGAGCAGACTATGAATTCAAAGGCAACCACAGGATTAGCAGAATGTATTAATACTCTCGAGTCATGCACTCACTTGTAAATACAAATATTTTTCTAGGTCTCAAAGTCTGGCTCTGGAGACAGAATATTCTGACACACAGTCTTCTCTACAAATAGTACAGTTGGAATCTACTTTTTATGATTAAGCAATTTTAAGTGTCAAAGATGCAAATTATCTTTAGATAAACTCTATTACAAAAATGAGTAATATTACCACTTTAAAATATGGTTTCAATGGTCTTTTGCTTTAATGTTTTACATAGAATTCCAGTGTCTAAAATAGTTCTATAATCTTCCCCTGTATCCATTTCAACACAATTTATTAGCATTCTCCAGGTAAGGTGCAAAACTTTGCTTGCTACCAATCAACCATTTTGAATAATGAAATATTCAGACAAGCAAAACAGTTACAGAATGTTGTAGGAATAACAAAAACCAATCAAAATTCACACACTCAAAAAAACTAATACTAAGAGAAATCAATTATTTGAAACTCTTTTTTTTTTTTTTTAATTATTTGAAACTCAAACGATCCTGCTACATATGAAATTATAAAATCATAGTAAACACCTACTTTTGAAATTTTCATAATAAATCAGTAACCAGATTAATGAGATTCAGTTATGTGGTAGGATTAACAGAAGAATATAAAGAACCACTTCTATCTAGATTATTTTCCTAGTGATACTCAGAACCTTGATATAACTATGAAGTCCTAAATTTCTTTTTGGGTTTTTCTGATGTTTGTATTATCTTTTATATCACGTTGCTATATTCTCCCCACTCAGGAAAAAAAAAAAGAAAGAAAATAAAGTACTTCACAATGTTGTAACTCCCCAGGTTTCTCTCATAAGTAGAGTATGACAACTGCGGGAAAAGCTCTTCATGTTTTCATTTGTGTTACTGAAAAAGAGACCCACAGATTTCTGGACAGATGCTTATCCACCTCACACCACAGCATGCCTGCTCATGCTGGGTGTGGTGGTGCATGCCTATAATCCCAATGCTTGGGAAGCTGGGACAGGAGGTTTACCATGATTCTGAGGCCAAGATGAGCTACATACTGAGTTCAAGATCAGCTTGAACTATACAGCGAGACCCTGTCTCAAAAAAAAACAAAACAGACACATAGACACACACAAAACAGTATGCCTGCTCATGTCAGTCACTGTAAGAAACGCGAGACTCACAGATTACCCCTCACGCCTTGATTTGTATTCCTGTACAAAAGATACTTACTTGCATACTTATTCATCTTTGAATTTCGGTACAGATTATAATCCTTAGATGATGATATCAATTATTATTTGTTCCTGGTATGAGTTTGTTAAATTATTTTTAAATTTTATAACAAATGTACATGCATTACTCTCCTACGTAAGAACTATACTCCAGTATTGAATCTACCTGCATGTTCCCACTCCCTTGATTATCTTTAGGAAGTAACCAACACCAATGCTAAATCTTGAGTTCATCGTTTTCTTACATTTTATTTCATTCTAGCTACAGAGACTCATAAAGTGCTTACAGTCTTCCACACACAAAAAATTATTATTTGTATTTGTATGAAGGGGTAACTCTGGCAATTGAACCCAATGCCTCTTATAAGTCCATCACAGAGGTACACCCGACAGCGTGACAACTGCTTTCATTTTCTCAACATCTGACGTTAAGATTTCATTCATGAAGCTGCAGGTCACTCATTTTTATTGCTTCCACATGCACTTTCTTTTCTAAAAAATACCTTTATAATGCTTATTTTAATTTATTTTATTTTTTTTTCTTTTTGGTTTGTTGGAGTTCTTATTAACAAATTCTTGATCAGTTACAGCTGTTGTACCTATCCCCCTGGCTCCTACTGTCTTTTCAATTTTCATTAAAGAACCTTTTTATAAACAGAAAATATATCCATCTTTTCTTTCATTTGGAACACTGTGCATCCTAACTAAAAAAATCCCTACCTATGCCATGCCAAACCAGAGAGATAATCACACATTTTTCTTCCCAGAGCTTTAAAGTTTTGCACTTCACAATCATCTGACAATGATTTTTGTAAGTGGTGCAGGGCCTACATTTTATTTTTTTGTCTTAATAACCTATTTCCAGTTCCAATTAATAATGGATTTACAATGCTTCTATAAATGAAGGATCTATTTCTGGCTTCTTTGTTCTGTTTTCATGGTAGATACACCTAAACCAGCTCAAATCCTACACTGCCCAAATTACACAATAAATTTGATATCCATTACAGTCCCCATGTTCCTAACATCCATTTTCTTCTTCAGGATCTCTTCTCCCTATACCTGTGTATTACCATATAAATTTTATAATCAATCCTGTCCCCCTAGTATTATTAGGATATAAACAACAAGTAAAATTGTCTTTAAGATGTTTTGATATATATGTTATGAAATGTGTGCCAAACTAATTAATACGCCTATCACCTCATAGTCACCTTTTGTGTAAGTATAGCAGAAATATCTTTAATATCTATTCTCTTAGTAAATTTCAAGTATATAACACAGAATTATTAACTACAATCACCATGTTGTATATTAGAGCTCCAGAACTACTCATTCTACATAACTGAAACACTGTACCCACTGACCAACATCTCTCAACTTTCTCTACTCCATAAACTATCCTTCTATTCCTTGCCTTTGTGTTAGATTTTAGATCCCATGTATGAGACATGGTATATTTCTCTGTAACCTAGTTTATTTCACTTAGGATAATATTCTCTGATTCATTCTTGCTGTTGAAAGGGACAAAATTTCCTCCTTTTGAAGGCTAATAGTACTTTACTACACTCTTAATCCAATCATCTATTCACAGACCCTTCTGTGAAGGTTGGTTCCTTGAAGGGTGCTTCCATATCTTCCCTATTGTAAGTAGTAACTTTGTAATAAACATACTCTTTCACATAGGGAATTTCCAGTTTTAAGGTTTCAATCCATGATCATTTGGCCTATGGCTTTGGGCTTGTGGTATAGCAGAACATCGTGAGAGGGAGTGCTTTGTTGTGCAAAGCTGCTCATCTCTTGATTGCCAGGCAAAAGAGAGAAATAAGAGGGTAGAGCCCCATTATCCTTTCAAAAGTACGCCCCTCAATGATCTAACACTGTACTAGGTCATACCGCCCCACCTCCCAAAGAGTGCAGAACCTCCCAACAGAACCACCAGCCTAGGACCAATCCTTTACACATGAGCATCTGAGGGATGATTAAGATGTGTACCATAACAGCTTTGTATCTATTAAATAATAACTCTACATTCTCACCTATCCCAGTCCCTGGCAACCAACATTCTACCCTGTCTCTGTAATTTTGACTATTCTATGTACCTCATAAGTGAAATGATATTTGTCCTTTGAAGTCCATTCGTTTCACACATCATATGGTACAGCACTATCATAGAATTTCCTTTGAATAATACTCCATTGTATGTATATACCTTTCATTTATCTAGACGTCTACTTATAGATGTCATTATATTTATTGTTAATTGTTCCCATTGACACTGATACAAAAGTATCTGTCTATACGCCAGGTGTGATGCTGCACATCTGTAATTCCAGCATTCTCCAAGTGTGAGCAAGGCTTCTAAGTTCAAGCACAACCTGGGCAACTCAGTGACTCAGTGACTCTGTCTTGAAATAAAGGAAGAACTGGGGATGTAGCTCAGTGCCCAGGGTTGAATCTCCAGTACTGCAAACAAATGTCTAGCAAAAACCAAATAAACAAAAATCTGTGTCTCTGCTTTCAATTCTTTTAGGTATACACCCAGAAGTAGAACTGCTGTATTATATGGCAAGTCTATGTTCAATTTTTAAGGAGAAATTTTATTGTTTTTAATCATTTTCTGTAAATTATTTTGCACTGTCTTGTAGGTAACTGAACATCATAAACAACAATTTTTATTTCCCCTTTTCTACATCTCAGAAAAAAAGTCTGTTATTTTTTTATACTGCACAGCGTATTTGTATGTTGAACAGAAACAGTAAGATGGGCATTCTTTTCCTTGATGTTAAAGAGACCATCCCTAGTATTTTCCTTAGTACAGGATGTTGTAGATTTTGGGGCACATTTCTTTTACAAGTTAAAAAAAATTCTGCATTCACTAAAAATTTTAACCCAAGTAGAACTCAAACTTGTAAAATATTTTCTAATTTGACCCAATACAACCTTTCCAGTTGTACTTTGTGAAACTCATGCTCCTTCTCTGCAAAATCCCTATCTTTAACCTTTTCTCTAAATATCTTCTCTCTTTTACATCTTGTAACTTAAGCCTAGAGGTCAGTTATATATAATTTTTGCTCCTTGCCCTTCAAAATCTCTTCCAAAGTACCCCACTTTCCTCTCTAAATTATTCCACCATCTATTAAGTTCAAGGCACTCGTAGACAAGTGCTATCCAACAAAATTTTGTGTGATGATAGAGACCTATGTGCTGTTTAACACAATGGTCACCAGTCAACATGTGGCTGCTGAGCACTTGCAATGTGGCTAGTATGGCTGAGGAAGTGAATTTTTAATCGAATTTTAATGATCTAAATTTAACAGCCACATGTAGCTAGTGGCTCCTGCATTAAACAAGAGTATACTAGATTGTAACATTTATGTTACTGGCATTTACTGACCTACAAGTCATTTTCCCTCTATATCCAGAAGACTTTAGAAGGTCAAGAAAAAGAGCCAAGGAACTAAAATTATCCTTATTAAAAATATTAGTGATTGCAATCTTCGCAGAGGTAACATTCCCAGTGTGCTGGGATTTCTTTTTTTTTTTTTTTTTTTTTTTGGTTTTTCTCTGGTACCAGGAACCGAACTCACGACCTTGCGCTTGCCAGGCAGGCGCTTTTGCCGCTGAGCTAAATCCCCAGCCCCGTGCTGGGATTTCTGATGTCTTGATTTTTCCAGTCATCTGACCTCCCCACAACTTTCAGCTTCTACTCTTTCCATCACCTTGAATACAGTGGTTATTTGATTCCACCAGGGCTTCTAATCTAGTAACCACGCCACCCTTTCACTGTTCATCACCTCCCACATTTACTTGGCTTAGTTTCTTTCTCAGTAAAACAACTCAAATATTTCCTTTTTGACCTCTTGTGCTACCTTCAATCCCTCTGGTATAAGCACTTGAAGAAAAATCCCAACTTTGGTTAATACAATTCTCATTATGTAGTGATTGAGGGTTTTTACATTGCTGAGGCTGCCTCAAAATTTTGAACTGATTTGAAACATTTATCTTTTAACTGAAGAGCCAGAAGTTGCACAGTGCCAGATTCACTGAAGAAGGAAATACCACAATGTTTTTACCAGCTCGCCTTTCTATGGATGGCACTGAGCAATGGCATTCACTATATATTTTTTGTTTCAGTCTTGCAAAGACACTTGCAAAAGAAGACTTCCAGAACTGCCTCAGAAAGTGGCAAGAATGATATGATAAGTGTATTCGAAGTGAGGGGGAATACTTTGAAGGGATTAATGGCAATGTATTTTTACCAGCCCTTGTATCTACAGATATGAAAATCTATACCTTTATCTTGTCGAAATGATAGAACCAAACATGATTAATGTAACATCAGAATGCAGAACAATATTATGATTCCATGTTTACCATCAGATTTTCCACTAGACCTGACAAAAACACCTTTAAGATTTATGACCAGAAGTTAATGGAAGTATAAATCACTAAATTTTTTCACAGCAGGCATGGTGGCACATGCTTGTCATCCCAGCACTTGGGAGGCTGAGGCAGGAGGACTGTTGCAAGTTCAAGACCAGCCTAGGCTACAAAATGAGCTCAAGACCAGCCTGAACTGCATAGCAAGACCCTGTCTCAAAAAGACAAATAAATACATTTTTTTCAAATTTATAATTTAAAATTTCCTCAAACTCATTAAAATCATAGTCTTAATGTGATTAAATGCCACTTTTTGCATTTATACTTTCCTATCAGGTGAATATGAAACACTATACTGTTGAAGATGCCTTTAAAGGATACACAAATGATTCTCAAAAGGACAGAAACCAAACACCAAACTGGAAGGTACCCACAAATTACCTGACAAATCTGATCAAACATTTCAGAGAAAATGTAGAGTTCAAAGTACAAAGTAATTTAAAACTTACCTGCTGTCATAATATTAATCATACTAAGAACTACCAAAAGAAAACAAAACCTAATGTCTTTACTTCCTGAAGGAAAGCTAACCTTTTATTAGCTAAGGAAGATTACTTACCGCCCATGTTTTAGTTAACCTGAAAATTGGGGCACTCTGTAAGCCAGAAACCACTGCCATAAGTGCATGAAGATTATTCAGTTCATATAGTTTCTGAGGATTTAAGAAAAAGGGAGAGAGGATAAAGGTTTAAAAATGAATACAAGACAAATATAAACTGACAAGCACAATTTAGGCAGTTGATAGTGTTGAGATTTGTCTTTAGAGTATCCACTATATTTACAGTAAGTTGTTTTTGGCCCATGATTAAAGTTCCATCTTCTAAACTGACCATTGTCCCCAAGCTCTGGGAATAAACCTATCTCTAACTTGGTAACGTATTTTAAAAACCAGCTATGACTCAGGATGAAATTTAACTGGAATGATCACATACCCTGCTTCTAGAAAGCACTCTCCTTCTTATACTGAAATATTACCAATCCTCAGTCTTATGTTCTGAGTTTCAAAAAAGGGTCTACCCAAGACTCTGATCTGCTTTCCTGCCAAACTCTCTCATTATTCCAGGCTTAGGGTTCAAATTTGGTTTCCACTGTCCTCAATTTCCTGCTTCCTCCTGCCTCAAATCTCAGATCCTTTGCTTTTTATTCATTCTGGGACATTGCTTTTATAGTTTGTGTGCAGAAAATGCCCAACAGTAGGTTCCATGAATTGGCCAAGAGTTCTATTTGACATATATGGCCAATTTTCTAGATTTTATTATGTTACTTCATACATCCCAAAGGTTCTATTTAAAAAATCAGCATCTTAGAACTTTCTTAACTCTGCTCCCAGGTAAGCCCCAGGTCTAGAAAATGCCAGAGGTGAGGTATTTCACTGAAAACTAAAAGAAAATAAAGAAAAACCATACAATAAACATAAAATAGGATATAAACCTTCACTCAGAAAGGTTGTATTATCTAGCTGAGGAACTATTTAATTATTAAACATATGTTAAACATTTATGGCGGAATAGGGACTATGTTAGATCTGTATTTGTAAAAATGAGAAAAGATCTAGAGAGAAGAAATTCTGCCACAAGACTACTGTTTCAACTCCTGTGTGAGTTTCCAGTCTGTTGGAAGGCCCAGCAGATTTCATCCTCCTCAGCCCCTATAAGTCACCTGAATCAACTCCTTAAATCTCTTATGTACTTTATAGTTAAAGCTTTATACATATTTTTACAGAATGTTATTGGCCTGCCTTTCTGGAAAATACTGATTGGCACAATCTACTGAAGGAAAAGACAGACTTACTAGTTTTTTAAACAAACTCAATATAGAAAGCAGAGTCAGAACAGAGGGATTTAAGAAAGTGATAAGAGAAAAATTACGGTCTGAGATAAAAACAAATATATAAGAGGTATCTCAAAGTCTTAAGACCATAAACAGGAATTAAATGATTATATGATGAGAAAGACAATGTAGGTTTAATGAGCAAAATTTGATGATTTTGAGTAGAACATAGAAGCAAATTAAAGTATCAAAAACCGGAAATTCACAATCTATGAGAAAAACCATTAATTTCTACTTTCCTAAAAAAAGTAATATTTACCTAATTTATTACGAATAATTTTTCTGAATTTTTATGACACTTCCAAAAAATACCATGTAGAAGGTGAGCTCTGCCACCTAGTGCCCCAGAATTTCTTAGAATACACTTGTTTCCATGTGCTCAAGGAAACTCTGGGAAGAGTTATTAAACAGTAATTGCAAGCATGGTATCCTCACTTTAATCCACCTTCTTTATTCACAGGTGACATACGTTATGCATTTATTACAAGAATCATAAAGAACCAATGTGGCTATTATGAACCACACTTCTCAGTGATGAACTTAACATAAATTTAGAATTGTTACAGGTTTATCTCAGTGTTTTTTTGGAATGTCCTTTTAGTTCTCTCTTGTATTTATTATCTGCACTACACAGTATTTGTTCAGTGAACATATTTAGTAACGAACATATATTATTCTTTTAAAAGTAAAAGAATTGTTATTTTCCACATGTCTGGCAGGGCAATCTATTTTGAAAGTAAATTTTAAAATGGCTATGTATTCCTCTACTTAATCTTATATGGCTCTTTTCATCACCTTCAGAATAGTGTAATATTTTATAGCTATCATACTTTAGCATAATCTGACTTCTGTCTACTTATCCAATGAAACAAATGATACAATAGGGAGAAGGAGGAAGGATATAAAAGATGAAGAAAACAAGAAAAATAAAGGAAAGAGCATTCAACTAAAAAAAAAAAAAAGAAAGAAAGAAAACAGACACATTAATCAACAGGACTTATTTTCTACTATCAATAAACAATAAAGAAATTATCACAGGCAAATATTCACTTAAAACATTTCTGAGTGATAGAACTAAACAAGTTTTTCTTACCTTAGCAGTTTTAATATAGTGGCTCAGAACTTCTGCTCTAATTTTCAATGTCTGAGCATGAAGAATCTCTCTAACAACCCAAAAGCTCACCTGAAAATAAAAATTAAAAACTGTAGGACAAGATTAATTTGTCAGGATCAAATTAATGACAAAAATGACCAAGTGAACTTCTTAGAGCTCCATTTAAAAACAGTATCTTTTCCCTTTAACATCACCAAGACATAACCAATTTTCAAATTTTGCATACTTTTCATATGAGACAGATATAGATATGTATGTGTGCATACACACACACATAAAGACATCATTAATTTGTAAAAGTTCATATGAAGCGTTAGGGAAAAGCGCCTTTTAGAAGAATGCAATACAACCCAAACAGTACAAACACTGTACAAATACAAGTGTGTTTTTTTCCTTTACTGTATTTTGAAACATACCAGCAGAATTAAGTGAGATCTAAAAGCAGACTTTGCACAAGTTACTAGTTTTTTTTGTGTGTGGCTGAATAGCCCTATGTTGTCATTTAAGGCTGAAAATTCCAAATTATGGCTAAAACAAAATGTGTGTGTGTATCTCCAAGTTAGCATTCTCAAATAAAGACTATGTTTCAAAAACTTTACAATACCTTCTAATTCATTTTTTTTTTTTTTTTTTTCTGGTACTGGGAATCGAACTCACAGCCTCATGCTTGCCAGGCAGCGCCTGTGCTGCTGAGCTAAATCCCCAGCCCCTAATACCTTCTAATTCAATGAAACCAATTCTTGATTTATTTAAAAAAACATTAAAATTCATTCACCAGAAGGCAGATGAGGACAAACATTATTAAATATTCTGGTAGAAAGCTTGCTTATCATATGATGCAATAAGTGTATTATAATATGGCTTTTTTTTGTGCATTATGAAAACAGAATTGAAGTACTGTAAGAAATGGTTAGAAATCTTAGTGTAAAAAGTAAAAAGATAATGCTACATCCCCAGCTAAGATATTTTAACAATAACCGTATCAAAAATCAACTATGAATTCAAATCTAAATTGCATGATCACTGATTTAATTAAATTTAATGGTAGACAATTTTTAAGATGAATACCATGGTGATTTTAAAATACAAATTCTCAGCTGGGTGTGGTGGTGCACATCTATAATCCCAGCACTCGGGAGGCTGAGGCAGGAGGATCATTGCGAGGCAGGAGGATCATTGCAAGTTCGAGACCATCCTGGGCTACAAAGTGAGCTCAAGGCCAGCCTGAACTAGTGAGACGCTGTCTCAAAAAGACAAAAAAAAAAAAAAAACCAAAAAACAAATTCTGTTACTGCTTTCATCAAAAGCTGTTACCTTTCACTAAATGTGGGCATGTGTGTGATTGCTTCGATGAAAAAGTATTGGAAAAACTGATGTGGAATTCCAGAAGGAAATCATAAAAGACCATGTAGCCCTCCCTACCTTGTTTGCTGGAATACTCACTCTGGGAGCCTGGAGCTATGATGTAAGAAAGCCCATTTACCCTGAGGACGTCATGCTAGAAAGGTAAAGTATAGGTATTTCCCAACTGACTGCCCCAGTTAAAGACAACCACACTAAGAATACTGACCCAGAGTAACCAAAACCAAAACATAAAATTGCTAGACTAAAAACAAAAATTGTTTTTGGTCATCTAAAAACAAAAAAAAAGAAAAAATGACTTTTAAAGAGATTATTGTTACACTTTTCAGCAACAATAAAAAATGGAGCAATATATCAAAGATATGTCAAACCCTCTTTGTAAGGATTAGGAGAAATGGAGAAGTAGTACTCCAGGGACTTCAAGAAATAACACTGAAACTACAAAATGTCAATATGCTTCCCACATGGGACCACAAAATACAAAGAGTCAGCATTAGATCTAAAGGGAGAGACAGACTCAGTACTATTCAGTAACAGTGGGGGACACATCCAACATCCCACTTTCCTCAATGGACAGATCATCTACATACAAATGAATCAAAGAAACATCTAAATTGAGTCACATTATACAGCAAATGGACCTAGGAGACATTTATGGAACATTCATCCAACAGCAACAAAACACATTCTTACCAGCACATGGAACACTCTCTAGGACAGAACATATATTAGGGTACATATCAAGCCTCAATAAATTTAAAAATAGAAAATCATATTTTGTATAGTCTCAAACCACAACCAATTAAAACTATAAATCAACAAGAATGGAAAATCTACAAATACATGGAGACTGAATAACATGTTTCTAAAAACTAATGGGTAATGAAAGAAATTAAAAAGAATAATTTAAAAATTTCTAGAAATTAGACATAATGATGACATAAAATACCAAAGTCTGTATAATACAGCAAAAGCAATACTGAGAGGGAAGTTTACCACAATAGAAGTACTCATCAAAAAACTAGAAAGATCTCAAACAACCTAACAATGTACCTAGAAGACTCAGGAAAGCAAGAGGAAAGCAGACATAAAGTTAATAGAAGGAAAGAAATAATAAAGACCAGAAATACAATCTAAACTACAAACAAATAAACAAAAAACAGTAACAAAACTAGCGCTACATGCCTATAAACCCAGGACTCTGGGAGGCTGAGGCAAGGGGACTGCAAGTGAGCCTAGCCTGGGAAACTTAAGTGACTTAGTAAGACCTTGTCTCAAAATAAAAGTTAAAAGTAGCAGAAAAATCTAGACATTCCTTTATAAGCATAAATTACACATTACAGCCGTACTGGCTATACAGTTAGCACAGCCATCCAGTAAAATCACAAAAGTAAATTTTTTTAGAATATAGGAGAGTGGAATTAGGTGTCTAAAAGAAAAAAGGCAAAAAGAGTTCTCGTTTTGCACAGACAGATAACTGGCTAAAACAGCCCACGATATATTTAAAAATGACTAGAATATGAAATCCCAACACATAAAAGTCATTTAACATTGAACAGACTGAAATGCTTATTACTCTGACTTGATTAATATACACTGTATAAATGTATTAAATTATCATAATGTATTCCATAAAGATAAACACATTTTTGAAAAATTTTAATGTTCAAAATTATTTAAGAAACTAAAAGTAAGAACATGACAGTGGGGTAAAAGCAATTACTATGAAACAGATAAAAGAGTCAACAGACAAGCAGCAAAGAATGTCAATTTCTAACAAATACTTAGAAAAGAAAAAACAAAGACCATGAATATATACAATATTTGAAGCGTTACTGGCTGAAGATATCACTGAATTTATGTGACTAGACTGTTTAATAAAAAATCATGTAGAGGGCCTGGGATATAGCTCAGCAGCACAATGCCTGCCTGGCAAGTTCGAAGTCCTGAGTTCGATTCCCGGTACCCTCCCCCAAATCATGTACTGAAAAGCTGAATTTCCAAAACTAAGTATCAAAATTTTTAAAACAACTTACATGATTAAATCTTCTTGTGAAGGCAACTGCGTTTGGTGCAGAACTATATTTTTCTTTTTTATTCCATCCACAACTGGAGAGTTCCTGTAACATTAAGGTGAAAATTCGATGTAAATTAAATATGTGAAACAGCCCAGTTTTCTTACCATATTAAGGATTTCAATTCTTTTTCTGTTCTTTTCTGGAATGTCTTTATTATATGATAGCCATTCAGTAAAATCACAGAAGTAAATTTTATTAAAATATAGGACAGTAAAATTAGGTGTCTAAAAGAAAAGGGCAAGCTTTTATTCCATAGGCAGAATAGTGGTGGATTCTTCTCTGGAAAGATGCAAAAAGATAGCTTAGCATCCCATAACTTAAGAGTGAAGGTTACTAGTTGTCAAGCCCCATTCAGTTCCCTGGGGCTCCCACAATCAGCTTTTAACTATCACACTCTGATCTGACAGTCACTGAATTCAGGTATTTGATCAATAGAATTCAAAGGGGCCCAGAACTTGGATGTTAAAAAATTACTTTTTATTCTACACTAACCTCTACCTGAAATGAGACATTCCTTTATAAACATAAATTACAGATTACAGTAGTACTGGCTATCCATGTGATTATCATCAATAAAAAAAAAAAAAATCACAGCTATTTTCTTATCACATTAGTTAGCACAAATATCTCAAAATATCATTTATATTTATTACTCCAAAATTCTGATAGTTGTAAGACCTCTATATCTTATTCAATGTGTTAATAAAGAACAACCAGTTTAAAAAAACTGAATAGTGTATTATAATAGAACTGATTTTGTTTGATTTTTTTTAATTTTTTGGGTTTTTTTTGTTTTGTTTTTTCTTCTGGTACCAGGAATCAAACTCACAACCTTGCGCTTGCCAGGCAGGCACTGTGCCGCTGAGCTAAACCCCCAGCCCCAATTTTGTTTGATTTTAAAAATGAGTTTCTGGGCTGGGGATTTAGCTCAGCGGCAAAAGCGCCTGCCTAGCAAGCGCAAGGTCGTGAGTTCGGTTCCTGGTACCGGAGAAAAACCAAAAAAAAAAAAAAAAAAATGAGTTTCTGTCCACAGAATTCAGTTTGCCAAAAGGACCCAAAGTCCCATATAGGTTACTAATTGCTTGTAATACAGCCACAACTACCAGAGAGGTAGAATCTATACAAAACAAAAACAAAAACTCCAGTTAGGTCAAGGATCAGAAGAAAACTGAGACAAGGAAAAGACATAATATATAATTACACTGTCAGAATGATGAGAAAACGTACCTGTCAGCCAAAAAGAGGAAGCTACAGAAAAAGAAATACTGAAGGAAACAGAGTTTCTGGAAATGAAAAATGTAAGAGAAAAAAATCAATAGAAGGGTTATGAGATAAAGGTGACAAAATCTTTTAAACAAAAAGCTGAGAGGAGGAGCAAAAGCCAACACTGGGGTAACAGGAAAATGGAGAAAAGCTAGTATCAAAAAATAGTTTGAGAAAATATCTCAGAACTCAAAAATCAAGGAAAGACCTGCCTAGTGCTTAGTGCAAAAGTTAAAAACAACCGAAAACAAAACAAAACAAGCTAAAGCACAGAATCAAAAAAACTTCAGAACAATGGAGAAAAAGAGATCATAAAATCCTGGAAGTGATGCCCTCAAAATCCTGTAATTCTATATCCAATAAAACATCAACTGAGTAGTAAAGAAGACTGCAGGCATTTTCAGGCACAAACATTTCAGAGAATTGCCTTCCATGCACTTATTTTTAGGAAGCTGGTAAAATCTGTGCTTTACAAAACAAACTAGCGAAGCAAAGGGAAGGAGGCAGCGGGTGGTAGTTCAGTGGTGGATTGTGTTCTTAGCACACACAAGGCCCAGGCTTCAACCCCTAGAACCAAAGAGGTGGAAGAAGAAAATGAAAGATATGAGATCCCAGAAACTGAGGAACACAGAAAGAATATATTGGAAATTCCCTGATGAAAACTGAAAGTGATCCTGAACATTCAGGAAAAGATCCTACAGTGGAGCTAGAGCAGAGATACTGGGGGCACGACAGGTTTCAGAAAAAATGAAACCAAAGTCGATGTGTTTCAACATATAAAGAAGACTCACTACATTCACTTCTTGAAGAGAATCTGTGATAGATGGAGCTGAAGTAAATTCTTAGCAGAAGAAAAACAAAATTTGAGTAAGTAATCTTAACACAACTGTAAAGAATATGGCTATATAGTCAGAACTGTGAAGTAACTACACGGGGAAAAGAGGAAGTGAATTGTGTAAATGTGCTACTGAGGGAAATATAAGGAAAAAATCATCTACAGTAGATTCGACATATTATCTAAAATTGAAAAATCAAGAAACAATAAGCATTTAGCTATATCCCACCAGTATTTGAAAATGGAAATAAATTTCTTCAAGGAACAGCTAAGGGATTTGGGAGTGGGAGACAAGAGTACAGGATGTAAGAATGAGACTAACAGGGATAGGGTATTTCTGCACTTTGTTCTGTTATGAAAATATGCAACTTTTCAAACACAGTACACACATCTTCAATAAAATAAATTAGAAACAAATGAAAAGGAACAGACTCAGGGAAGATTGAGAAAATAGGTGTAACAATACAACATTCCAAAGGGAGGAACTAATGTTCCTTCAGTGAGGGTGCTTGTCAGTAGATACTGTCTGTAGAAAGTGGTAGATTTAAGATATTTTGGAGGCAGACAGGATCTGAGACAGTAAGGAATACTGAGGAAAGATAATTACTATTTCAACAAAGTAGATAAGTAGTGAATGCTCTGCAGATATGAATCACTAACTTTTAAAATTAATGAGAACTTTCAAATCTAATGCTTAGATACAATTAACATAAATGCTTATTATATGACAGTAACATAAAAAGCAAAAAACTGTTAGGAAACATTTTTTTCTAAAATCATAGCATACTTAGACAGCTACATAAAGATATATTTTGGATCAAAATCCCTAGGATTGAACTATAAATATGCAGTATATTCTTAACCAATAATTTCCAAATTTATAATGTTATAATCAGTGTCCATCAAATTAGAATTAAATTTATCAAATCATTCAAAGTAGTCATTTGACACAGAATTTGATCCCAATTATAGATCTTTAATATAAGGCTGATCTCATTTTCCTACTATAAGTAATGTTGCATCTTTTCTGATTATGATCATTTCCTAAAAATACAGTCCTTGAAGTGAAATCACTAAGTCAAAGCGCATCACCTTTTCAAGTCTTTGATACTTGCCAAATTGCCTTCCAAAATAATTGTTTATATTACCACCAGCACTGTGTCATTTCCATAAATATTATCAAAACTATGTATATTTGTTTCTTTCTATATATTATTGCCTTAATTTCCCTAACTATGAGTCTGTTTCTACCTATTGAGAAAACAGGTGGGGGGATATCAATCACCTAAGAAGCCCACCAAAGAAAACATGTAAACGTTTTCCCAATCTTCTTTAGATGCATGTGGGCTTGTTTTTTATTTTTAAAAAGACCATCCTGAGAACAGATGTCTATTTTTTAATGAAATAGCAGCAATAAAATAGTTAACACAGATTATTACTAAATGTCAATGTGTTTTATACAACCTGTCTTTATCATTATAATTTATCATCATAAATAAGAAACCCAGACAAAATTACTGACTTCATTTTTTACATTTAAAAAACCTCAATGCTTTTCTTCTTTTTTGGTGCTGGGGACTGACAGTGCCTTGTACACCCTAGGCAAGAGCTCTACCTCCGAGCTACATTCCCAGCCCTGTTTGGTTTTTTTTGACTCCTCAAATAAAAAAATGGTTAAGTTTTTGGAAAATCTATGCAGTTCTTAAACATTTCAGCATGATTTTTAAATGAGAAAATGCTTCCCCACTTTAAGAAAATTCTGTTGGCGAGAGGAGATGATACATTTTTTTTTTTTTTTTTTTGGTTTTTCTCCGGTACCGGGAACCGAACTCAGGACCTTACGCTTGCCAGGCAGGCGCTTTTGCCGCTGAGCTAAATCCCCAGCCCCTTGATACATTTTTTGAGAATAGATGAGTTTACACAGCATTGAAGTGCTCCATTCTAAAGAGGCTTCTAATTAAAAAACACGAAAAACCAGGTACTTTTAAAGATCTCATAAGGTTATAGTTTCTACTTCAGAAACATTTCCCCTTTTGAAAGAATGTCACATTACTAGCCTATCTCATACAACAACAAACAACAAAAATGGAGCACCAACTAGTTGCCAGTGGCTAATGATGGCAGGGTATGGGGAGGCATAGTAGGATAGATGTGACTACACAGAGGTAGCACAAAGCAGAGTTGTGTGCTGATGAATACTTAGGTATCTTGAATGAGGCAGCATAGACAGATCTACATATGTGATAGTGTCACAGAATAACAGGCACATACTGTAAAAGTACCAGTTTCCTGGTTTTGATACTGAACTACAATTAAGATGCAACTACTGAGGAAAACTAGGTGAAAGGTAAACAGGACTTCTCTGCACTATTTTTGCAACTCCCCATGACTCTCATTATCTCTGTGCTATTTCTTACAACTTCCTCCAACTCTATAATTATCTCAAAATAAAAGGATTTTAAAACAGTAAGAACAAAAATCCAGAGTGAATTATGAAGTTAAAACTGTAGTGGGAATCCAGGAATTCACTCACTGTTTCTTCTTAAACCTGGACATGCATTTACAGTTACCCAGCCTTAAAGGAATTCTGCCTTGCCCCCACATCTACCTCCCAACAGCCACTTAATTCTTTTTTTTGGGGGGGGGGGTGTACTGGGAATCAAACTCATGACCTCACGCTTGCCAGGCAAGTGCTTGTGCCACTGAGCTATACCCCCAGCCCAGAAGCCACTTAATTCTATGTGGAAAAAAAAAAATGTCATTTTCATGTCTTGAGGGAGATCAAACTAGGCTACCACGCCCAAAATTATTCTTTGGTGTATTTTAGGTTGGTTATTCAGAGAAACCACAGACCTCTGCAGTCATGAAAAGTGACTAAAAAAAAGAATAAAACTATTCTATTAATAAAACTATTCTAAAAAGAATAGTTCTGAAAAGCTGTACT